GTGTGTGTGTGTGTGTGTGTGTGTGTGTGTGTGTGTGTAAGGGGGGGCTCAGGGTAGAGCATAGAAGGCTGGCCTTGGAGTCGGGGAGACTTGGGTTCAAGGCACATACATACTGGCTATAAGACTCTGGGAAAGTCATTTAACTTCTTAGGGGTCCTACACAACTCCCTATGACTATAATTTACCCCAGAGTTGATCTGCTTTAGTGGAAGGAGTTTCCATACTGAGGACTTCCTAATAACATTAGTGAAAACAACAATATACTTTCCACCCCAAAGAATCCAAGTCTTCCCCCCCCCCCCGCAAGATTCCTCCTTTTAAAATTCTACATAGGCTCCCTCTAACCAAAGCACACAGTCTCTAGGGCAGTGCCTGGCCCATTGGGATTGGGCCTGGTTTTGCGATTTCATTAGTATGGAGGATTCCCCAGAGGTGCAACTAGGTAACACCGGCTCTACAGCTTAGAACCTTAGAGAGTTTCCTTACAGCACTGACAGTAGTCCTGTAATAAAGTAATGAATGAAAAAACTTCAGTTTTTCCACCGGAAAAAGGGAGAGCATCCCCAAACTCTATAAAGGGCTAGTCTGCAAATGCATGGCTCGCTGGCTCCACGCCAGCAAGAGCTTCACGGGGGTTCCGGAGAGGGGTTCCCACGACGGGAGCGCGGCTCCCCTCTCCTCCTTCTCCCTGTTCCAGCTAAAGGCTGCAGTGCGATGCCTCTCCAGCACCTCCAATGCATCACAAAGAATATGAGTTAGGGCCCCCGTTCCGAGGGCTTCAAGGCGGCCCACTCCCGGGGAAACCTCTTCCACGCCAAGCCAAGGAAAACACGGGTGCCGGGTATCAGGAACTGCAACCAGGAGTCCAACCCTCCTCGCCGGCTCCCACGTCAAAACGCCGGACGTCAGAAGAAACATTGTAATGTATCAAAACAGCGCACCCCATGAATCTCCCCGGCAGCTGCTGCAGCTGGATTTCCCCTCCCCCATTACCCACTCTAAGTCAAATAAAACCTGCCCTCCCTTTCTCGGGCCTCGGGCAGTGCCAAAGCAGGACCAGCCTCCTCGCGGCTAAGAGAGGGGCTTTCTCTTCCGCTTGAGATATTAGTTGCAGCTGCAGCGCCTCGCGCTCGCTAGTAAAGCGTCCCAAACCGGCCCCCCCGCCGGGGCAGACAGCCCGGGGGCGCGGGACCTCGGCAGCCCCGCGAGAGAGAGGGGCAGGGAGGGCGCGTGCGCGCTCGCGCCAGGGGCCCCCCCCGACTCCCCCCTCCCCGTTCCCCCGGCCGAGGAGCTGCAGCTTCCCCCAGCCGCTGCTGAGCTTCGGCGGTTGCCTTTGCGAGTCTATTAGCAGGCGCGTGGTAGCGATGGCGGCTCTCTGGGAGACTTCCCCGTCACTGGATACTACTCCTCCCGGCCCGGCGGCGGCGGCTCCACCCCACCCACCCCCGCCCCCCTCTCGCCTTTAGTTTACAAGTAGCAATTTCCCTGGCTTGTGCCGCGAGTCCGGAGCGAGCCGGGGCGCGCGCCGCGGGGCGGGCGGGCGCAGCAAACACTCCCTGGAGGAGCCCAGCAGCTAGCACCCAAACCCCCAGCCCAGCGGCCGGCCCAGGTCACCATGGGGCTGCGGGAGAGGCTTGCCAAGGAATGGTTCATGCTCTGCATCGTGCTGGTGATCGTACTGGCGAAGATGGATCCGTCCGTGGGGGCCAAGGGCGGTGAGTGCGGCTCCTTCCCACGACCCACGCGAGAATCCAGCCCTGCGAGGGAGGGGGGGGCGGCGCTGCCAGAGTGCACGCACCCCGCCTCGGGAGGGAGGCTTTGTACCTTGTTCGAGGTTACCCCGGGAGAACTAACCTCTCCCCCCCACCCACATCCCCGTGGGGGCGTCGGTGTTGCACGTGGACCTGCTGGAGCATCCGACTCCTCCAGTGTCAAGCGGCTGGGGGGCAGACCTCGTGTGTAACCGCCCCCGGGTCTCAGCATGAGAGCCTCAGCCAGGAGCCAGAACCCGTTAGGTGGGACCTGGGGTTGCCCTGACTCCCGGGGTCCCTGAAGGTTTCCACCACATGGAGACCTCAACCTCTTTCACCTACCCTGTTGTGTGCGGGGAGGTCAGAGGAGAGGAGGAAAATATCCTGCCCTCCACCTCCAGGCTTCATTGAAACCTTCAGGCAGACTGACACGTTGCATACTCCTGCTGGGACACTACTTCCGTGTGCTCTCCTCCCGGGGACTGTCTGATTCCCAGCTCCAACTGGTAACTCCCCCAGAGGTTATCAGTGCCTGCCACTTTGTGCCCAGCTCCAGCTCAGTCCCCACACGGAAAGGCTAGCTCTGCTTCCCAAGAAAGCCTTTGCAGAGTGTGGATGTTAATTGGTTAATTAGACATAGCCAGGTCTGAAACCAAGTCAGATGTCAGCTAAGGGGAGTCTTGTTTACGTGGAGCTAATAAAAGTGAATCTCATTAGTCCCCTTATCTCCTCCTTCTCTTCTGTTCTAACGCTAGAGTGTGACTTAGTACAGATAAAATTACACTTTTTATCTAATCAGTTTCTGCCATTCAAGAAAGTCTAACTTAATTTCAGTATTTGATGGGTCTTTTTGATCTGGAGTGTTGGTGTCTAAATTTCATCTGGAAGTTTGACATCAAAATGCTCATTGGAAGGTATTGGTGCTGTTTTGAAAAAAGCACTGTTAGAAATGAATGAAAGCTATTTGTTGATTCCAGTTAGCACCAAAGTTTTTTAGGTACCTCCACCCCCAAGTTGAGAAGTCAGCTCTCTGGAGAGCTTCTTGAAGTAGACAGCATAGAAAGCCTTATAGAGAGAACCATGCTTTTCGTTTTCATCTTCTCTAGTATTAGTTACTTTACTAGGTTTAATTTATTATTCTAGAATAACTTTGAGTTCATAGGAAGGAAATAGAAGTCTGAAGAAGAGATATGATTTGCCTGACAGCTAAGAAATAGGACTCTTACACCAGAGATATGTCCATTAGAATTTTGTCACTATTTGGAAAGCAGGGCTGCCATTCCTTCATTCAGTGGGACCCAAAAAGTACCATTGATTTACCTTTTGATAAAGATTCTTTGTGACCTTTAGGCAAATGCTGTACTTTTTATACCAGTTTCTGTAAAATGAAGATCATACCTTTACCTCTCAGGTGCTGGGACTTGGAATCAGGAGAGACCTTTAACAATTACTAGCTGTATGGTCTTGGGCAAGTCACTTAATCTTTGTGAGTCTCAGTTTCCTGTTCTGTAAAATGCACAGAACATACCTCTTCAGGGTTGTTGTGGAAGATCAAGTGAGATACTGTAATGTATATAAAATGCTTTGCAAATCTTTAAAGCGCTATTATTCGTGAGAGTTGGATGTGATGGGGGAGAAGGGGGTGACCTTTATAGCCTGAACTGAAATGTCTCTAGTCAGAGACCAGTTGTAAGTAGATTATATGAAGCACAGTAGATCCTTGATTCACTTTGCCTTGTGTAGAAAGTACCATCTTAAGTGACATCCAGATGCCCGGGTTGTAGCTTTGGAGGAAAACTTTAGAAAAATCTGTGGGGCCGTTAATAATGGGAGTCTCCTAGGTGGGTGTTGACTTATTTCTAAAGCAATGTTCCAGTTTCCTGAAAGGGACACATGCTAGCTGGGAAATAAATGAGGTCTACAGTGAATCTTTGGAATATAACATGAGAGCAAATCTTGTAGGACCAGTGTGACTTCCAGAGTTAAAAAAACAAAAACCAAAACCAGGGTGTGAATTGTATGTTTAAGTCATTTAGAGGCTAAGTAGAATTAGATTAAACTTTCTCCCATCTTAAATAACATGTTATATTGGGCATATATTGACCTTAGCGTCTATTCCCTTAGCACTGGTTGCATGTCAGTGGCAGCTATAAGATACAAGTGCATATTAACACATGTATAGATATGTACACATACATACGTTACAGGTATGTAAATATAAAAGATAATGTGTTGTGTATGTATATATCACATAATATTGTCTGTCTCTTTATAAAATGCCAAATCTGCAGTAAACAGATGAACAAAGCATTAGATAAAGTTGTACAACTTGTAAATTCTTTGTTTCCTAGTCACATAGTATTCACTTTCTAGAAATAAAGAACTTCATTTTTTTTGCTGTTTGTATTGGTCAGAGAGTGAGGTTGAACTAAGATGATATGTTAGTTTAAGATTAGATTTCTCTTCCCCTCTGACTCTATTCTTCAGTTCTCTAATGAGAGCCAATTAGTTTAAACATCTCAGCCACTCTAAATTAAACTAAATTTTAGGCCTCGAAGTCACCTACCAAGACAACCCTTGGGAACTGGGAGGGAAGGAATTGTCATGTGTGCTCGACACCTGCCTCTCATATGGAGAATGCCATTTTGAGGGTTATATTCATTTCAACAAAAGCCCATTATAGTAAAACAACTTAGATATCTCTCCAGATAGAAGCCTGATTGTTAATTCACTTGTGAAAAGTCTTGGTGGATGGCCATGTTTCTAATTTTTGTAATGAGTATTTGGCTTCATCTCTAATGAGGCTTGAGATTGGGTCCTGGATGTACATAGTGTTATATTTTTACTTTCAAAGGGGATTAGGATGCCTGCTGTCCAGGTTTTTTTGAAAACAAAATAACTAGCTTGCCATAGAGTACTTTCAGGTTTACAATGCACTTTAGATGCTTTCTGTTCTTAACAACCCTGAGAGGAAGATGCTTCTATTATCTCCATTTTACAAATGAGGAAACTGAGGCAAACAGAGGTTAAGTGACTTGCCCAAGGTCACACAGCTAGTAAATGCCTAGGAAACTGAGGTAGACACATTAAGTGACTTGCCCAGGGTCACACTCAGCTGGTAACTGTCTGAGCCTGGATTTGAACTCAGATCATCTCTACTCCAGGTGCACCTAACTGCTCATAACCACTCTGCCAGTTAATTAGAATAGGGGTTAGTATTTCCATTTTACATAGAAGTAAAATTAGAGACTGTCTGCTGCCCTTGGGCCAGTTGCTTAAATTCTTTAGGTCTCAGTTTCCTCTTTGGTAAAACTAGTGAACTGGGGTTTAAGATTTCTTCTGACAGTTTCTGTGAATCTAAGTTGAGTGGCTTCCTAGAGCCGAAACCCCCTCACATAGTGCTTAGTACTCAGATTCCTTAAGTCTTAATACAAAATGCCCCTCATTGGATTTTTAAAAAGTCACATAGATCAAGGATGAGAACAGTGTGCCAGATAACATGCAAATATTATGTAGCTGCTGGATGCAAGACATATGGATAGAGTACTGGACTGGAGTCAGGAAAGCCTGGGTGTGTGTGCTCCTCTCACAGTTACTCCCTTTGTGACCACAGGCAAGTCAGGTAATCTTTCTGGGCCTCAAGCAACTCTCCAAGACTGTAAGTTGTAGATGCCTTCTGATCTGCTTCCCCGTAAGGAGCTCTCAGCAATGAAAATTACAGGTCCCTGCTGTGGCTAGTCCCCGTTGTAGGTCCTTGATATAGTGATAGCCTCGATGTGATCTGCCGTCTTCAGAAGTAAGAGAGCATTGATCCCTGACCAGCATAGAGCTTCCCAGGGATATTCCACAGGATGCCTTCACAGGAGAAAAAAGGTGGCTCTGTTCTTTGGAAATACAGAGTAAGTTTCTGGTTTCCAGCCGCAGATTTAGTTAGGTTGAATGATTACTATGAATAAAGCATGAATTCTAAAAAGGAAGCTGCTTTTTTTTTTCATTTACAAGTCCATATTGCAAAAAAAGCTGCTTCATGCGGTGGGATTGTGACGTAGACACTGCAGAATATGTTAGGTTTCATTGAGTTGCAGAGTTTTATTCAGTGAACACTTGCCGGCCGTGACCTCCTTATAGTGCTAGTTGACCCACAGTATGCTGAGAGTATGAAAAATCCACATTCCTTTGCTCACTAGAAAGTACTGTGAATTTAGTGGGCTTATGCCTACGTAGGATCAAAGAATTTTAGTTTAGAGGACCTTAGTTCATCAGAGAGTGAAAAAAACATTTATTAAGTGCCTGTTGTGTACTTGGCACCATGCTAATCATTGTGGATACAAAGAGAGGCAAAAGAGGAACCCTGTCTTCAAGGAGCTTACAGTTTAATGGGGTAAATATGTATAAATATTTTATATAAATATGTTTAAATACATATAAATAACAAATATGTATAAACAAGTTATATACAGAATAGTTAGGAAATAATTGAGAGAGGGAAGGCACTAGAATTAAGAGGGGCTGAGAAAGGCTTCCTGTAGAAGATATGGTTTTAGTTGAGACTTAAAGGAAGCCCAGGAAAGGCAGACATAAGGACCGAGAGCATTCCAGTCATGGGACAGCCAGAGATGATGAGTATCTTGTTTGTGGAACAGACAGGAGGCCAGTGGCACTGGATTAAAGAGTGTGTATTATGGAGTAACGTGTAAGAAGACTGGAAACATAGAAGGCTAGTTTATGAAGGGCTTTAAACAGCAGAGGATTCTGTATTGGATCTTGTAGGCAATATTGGGAACCCCTGGAGTTTACTGAGTAGCAGGGTGATATGATTGGACCTGCACTTTAGGAAAATCACTTGGGTGACTGAATAAAGGATGGATTGGAGTTGGGAGAGACTTGAGGTAGACAGATTCATCAGCAGCTATAGTGGTAATCCAGGTGGGAGGTGATGAGGGCCTGCACCAGAGTAGGGGCATTGACAGGTGAGAAGGGGACATGTTCTTGAGATGTTGCTGAGGTGAAATCGAAGCCTTGGCACCAGCTTGGATGTGGGGGAGGGGGTGAGGAGATAGTGAGGATTCCAGGATGACTCTGAGATTTGAGCCTGATGGACTCGAAGGATGGTGTTGTCCTTTTGAAAAGGTAGAAGGGGGAGGGTTCAGGGGAAAAGATAACAAGGTTAGTTTTGGACAGGTTGAATTTCAGATATCTGCTGGATATCCACTTTGAGATATCTGAAAGAATTTGGAAATGTGAAGACTGGAGGTCTACAGAGAGGTTAGGGCAGGATAGATAGCTGTGGGAATCATTAACATAGAGATGGTAACTAAATCCATGGGAATGATGAGTGATGAGGTCACTAAGTGAAGTAGTATAGAGGGAGAAGAGAAGAAGACCCAGGACAGAACTCCTAGGGACATCCTTGATTAGAGGGTGTGATCGCAGGAAGATCCAGCAGAGGAGACAGAGGAGTGGTCACACAGGAGGAGAACCAGAAGAGAGGGGTGTCTAGAAAACCTAAAGAGAAGAGAGTATCAAGGAGGAGAGAGTATCAGTGGTTTAGAAGGGTACAGAGAAGTCAAGGAGAGTGAGGATTGAGAAAAGGCCATTGGATTTGGCAACTAAGAGATCATTGGTAACTTTGGAGAAAGGAGTTTAGGTAGAAGCCTTGTAAAGGGTTAACAAGAGAGTGAGAGGAGAGAAAGTAAGGGCAGCAGAGATATAGGGCAATAGTTACTGGGGATGGAAAGGTCAAGTGAGGGTTTTTTTTTTTTCAGGATAGAGGAAACATAGGCAGCAGGAAAGATAGGAAGAGATTCAAATGACGGGGGTCAGTTTGTTGGAAGAAATGGGATGGAATGGGATCTGTTGAGCAGGTAGAGGGATTAGCCCTTGGTAAGGGGTAAGGTCATCTCATCATATGTTCAGGGGTGAAGGAGGAGATGGTGGCAGAGTGATATGAGATGAAGAAGAGGGAGCTCACGGTGAATGGCCTTGATTTTTTCTCTTTAAAATATGGATTCTCACCTGGGACAGGGCCATGAGAGATATAAGGAGACACATAACGGTTTGGAAAAGCCACTGTGGAGGGTGGGAAAGTGAACTGAGGAGGGAGCTGTAGTAGGATTGTTTAGCCGCAGTGAAGGTGCATTTGAGGTTGTGTAACACAGATTTGTAGTGGATCCAGTCAGAATGGTTGTGTAATTTTCTTCACCTTTGTTCAGTATCTTGTCTGTGGTAGTGAAGGTGGTAGATGGTGGGAGTGATCCAAGGCTGAGGCTTGGCAGGGCACAATCAACAAAATGTCGAGGGAGCAGGGGTAGGACTCAGCAGAGGAGAGGACAGTGTAGAGTTGAATTGGTTCACCAAGGAGTCAAGATGGGGAGAAGAGGAGAGAGTGGGTAATAGAGGAGAAAACCTGGGAGAATATTGAGGGGTCAAGGGATTGAAAGTCACTGTGTAGACAGAGTTGGGTTTGGTAAGGGAAGGAAGAGGGAGAGATAGAAAGCCGATAGAATATGGTCAGATAAGAGGATTTCTAATTCCTGAACATGGAGGTGGTTCATTTTGTGGGTAATGATGAGATCAAGGGTATGATCATCTTTGGGTGTGGACAAGTTGGGGTGGAATAGGTCATGGAAAGTGAGTAGGTTAAGAACTGAATGGTTAGGGTGTTTGAGGGACAGCCAGTATTGATATTGAAATTACCTAGTATAAGGACAGGAATTGGGGAGGAGAGAAAAATTGTGAGCCATGTACCAAACTTATTGAGGAAATAAGGGAAGTAACCTGGAGGTCTATAAACAAAGGCTGTTAGGATTTTGATTGGTCAGTAGAGATGAATGACATGAACTTCAAAGGAGGAAAGGTTAGTGAGTGATGGAAGTAGGGAGAGGACCTAGAAGTGGCAGTGGGGAGCAAGGAGTAGCTGGTCCTAAATACAAAGCCCATACTTCTGCTATAAAAAAGCATACTACTGCTTCCTTATAAATAGTGAGTGGCTGTTTTAGCCTACTGAGGACAGAATACTGTCCTCGGGCTGTGTGTTATGCAGACATTAGACAGTTTCCAGGTAGCGTTTAATAAATAGACAAAGAACTTCTATATCAGAAAGACCTGGGTTCAGGATTTGCCTAAGACGTTTCCTAGCAGTGTTACCTTAGGCAAGTCAGTTAATTTTGGCTAGCCCAGGTTTCTTCATCTGTAAAAATTAACCCATCAACAAGCATTTATTAAGTGCCTACTATGTGCCAGACACTGACTTGGTCCTGGAGATGCAAATGCAGAAAACGGAAAGTCTTTACTCTTTAGGGAGTGTGTGTGTGTGTGAATAGATAAAGAACAAGATAGTTTGGGGACAAGGGCACTATTAATTGGAGGGATAGGGAAAGGCTTCGTGTAGAAGGTAGTTCTCAAACTGTCCGGGATTCTGTCAGGAAGAGGTGAGGAAGGTGTATGTGGCCGCTATGGGGATGACCAGTGCAGAGACATAGAAGTAGAACATCACCATGTATGCTATTCTATAGCATTCTATAGCACGGTGAGGGACAGAGAGGAGACTAGTTTGATTGGATTGTAGGCTGATAAAAAGAGTAAAGTACAGTGAGATTGGAAGGAGAGATTAGTGCCAGCTTCTGAAGGACTTTAAAAGCCAAAGGCGGGGGGGGGGGTGTTATATTTTATCCTAAAGGAAGTAGGGAGTCATTGTGGTTTATTGAGTAGGGGAGTGCCATGGTTAGACTTTCACTTGAGAAAAGTCACTTTGGCAGTGTTGTGGAGGATGGATTGAAGTGGGCAGAGACTTAAGGCAGGAGACCAAAGAGAAGGCTATTCCAATAGTTTGTGATTGAAGGGAAGGGCCTGAACTA